TGTTTAGAAAGTACTTTTATGTAAAACACTATTATTACAGAATCCCCTCCTTATTTATGCAAATTATGTCTCTATTTGCATAATTTGCAGTCAACTGTGTTCATCTTTGTATAAGCTACGTACATATAAATGTAGAAAATATTTTGTTCCTTTTCGGACTCATCCGCTAAAAACGATTTCGTCAGAAACTACCCTAAAGATCCACCACTTATTCGTAACAGAAATAGCTACCTGTCGCCAAGATTCCAAGACCATAGCATGTTAAGGATTACAAAAACCAGAAGTTCTTCTGCAGTTGACATTTACCAACATACTAAATATCAGAACTCTCTAGCCAAGCTATGAATGTGTTATTTACCCACAATTAACCTAGTAGTCTAGTAACCCCATATTACACTACACCTTTTTCCCAAACTTATCGGAAATATACGTATCAAGAGCACCAACATTTTACTATGTGTCGATATACAAGATTAAAAAAATCACAATCGTATAAATTACATAATTTCTTATTGTCTTCTACCTGACAAGTGTTTCCTGTGTCAGGGAGTTATAATAAATACCCACAGGATCTTTCATGTAAATCATGGCTATTAAAACCATCGATGGCCAGCAGGAGCAGGGCGCATTTTTGTTGCCTCATTGTTATCTCTTTACAAGCAAACCTGAAACAAAGACAAAATTAATACTTGAATACAAGCCCCTCTGTGGTGTTAGAGAGTGCATTATATATTTTTGACAAAAGGTTGACGAGATCGACTGGAAATTCATGGTAAGTTCCCTCATGGAACAAAGTTAAACTTAACAACTCAAAAATTCAATGGTTTGACAGTGTTAAAATCTAGCGGTTTTGCTAATCTGTTTATTTTGTTTATTTAAATTTCCACCAGATGTGTGGAAGGGGAGGGAGAACAGGTGAGTCACCTTTACGAGCTCCCTCCCCAAATTACATCAATAAAAAAGCATTGTAAAACACTGAAATTATACACATTGTAAGGGTAAATACATAAAGATACATACAAAAATATGGACATGTAACATGTCAGTCAGCGCGACCTAAATGCTATGCATGCCCCACATCTGCAAGCCGCAGACCATGTACATATGATGTCTGTGTCAAAGTGGTCCTGAAACCTGTAGCTTACTGGCAGGACAAGACACCGTTTGAAATGCAAAATGTTAGACTGACTTGACGCTGCAATCCCTAAGACCTTTATTGGCTAATTGGCGACCTACCACCCCTAGTTAGTCTAGTGGGGAATAATAAATAGCTCTCGTTAATTAACTAGCATAGTATCCTCCAAAAATTTAAATTCTAATCAGTAGTAATAGTTATTCTTAGTAATTTCAACCATATTCAAATTCTCACTATGTGTGCTAATTGATGACGTCATTAATCAAACTTGAACATAGTGAAACTATAATTAAAGTAAAGTGCGTTCACAGAACATTTTACGTCATGTTGGCTTCCGTGTTGTCATGGGCATTATAAGTCTTAGCAGACCTTTATATTCTGTCATACACCCTTTTTGTTTCATTTTGTGCAGTTTTACAGGAAAAACATCTTTACACGGTTTCAGCAAAATCACCTAAATTAACGTCAAAATGATGTATTATGCACCAAAATTACTCTTATGATTTAATTTTACTTGTACATTATCCCCTGAAAATAAATAGTTTGTAAGTTACATAGAATTACCCCACCCCCACCTCGTAAAAAGCAGGGTAATTTGGCTTACAACATGTTCGGTGACAACCCCCCCCCCCAAATCTTATAATAAAAATGAGGTACACGTGCCCTAGGTCACGGATAAGGTTTGAAGCACATTATGTCTAAACTGAGAATTCTGTGATGTTTCGAGGGTTTGTCATTGATACCACCATACCAGCTCTTTCAGTTTGAAAACCAGAGCACAGAAGATTATAATATACATTTGTGGTCCTGCAAGAAACTTGTCAATAGGTAGTTAACAATCAAAGACGTTCACCAGGTGACTATGGAGTCAGCAACGAACACTTCACACATGGGATTAACGTCATAACACATTTCCTTACTGTCATTATTACCTTCGTCAGAAGGTTATGTGTTTACGTCCACTATAAATAGGGGTTGTCGATTTTGAAATCGGTTTCATGCAAGTTTAATGCTGCGAGTTTTGATCTCCTCCGTAAGTGCAGACAATTCCTGATACAGTTGCTCGTCGGGGAGTTTTCGCTCCCATAAGATGTTCAGACACATACGGAGCATCTTTTGTAGCAGCAATTAATGTGCTTTTCAAGGGATTTAGTCAGCGTAAGAAGAAGAAGTCAGCGTCCAAGCTTCACTACCATACAGCAGTATCGATTCTGTTGTGACAATCAGAAAGTTTAATTTTGGTTTTCCATAACTTGGATTTCAAGATTTTATTTAGCTTATGGCAGATACTCTAGGCGACCGCTTTTCTTATTTCGATTTTTTTTCTGAGTTCTGCATGTTGAAACCCAGGTATTTAAAGTTTCTGACTACCTCTACCCCCTTGGTGACCTCCCTTTGTTGATATACTAGGTCACCGCTCCAGTTTTGGATGACGAAGGGAACAACTTGTTGTATGCCATAAGCTTGGTTTTCTTCGCGTTAAGATTCAAGCATACTTTTGCTGACGCAATAGTAGTTCCTGTGCTTGCTTGATTATTGATAGTGGTAAGTTAAGATTTTATGCAAAATGTAAAACTATGTACAACACAGAGCGATATCTTAA